GAATGTAGCTAATTTGACAGTCTCAAAATGTTCCATTTTCTAGGGAAAAAGTGCTAATTTCCCACTACCATGCTTTGTGTACGATTGCAGGAGTGCACTGCCTGAGAGGCTAGAGAAAGCAGACTGACCACTTGGTTTTAAACCCTAGGAAATACAAGTCCTGGGACTTTTGCACTTGAAGAAGTTTCACATCTGTATTGTCGCGATAGCAATACAAAACAGCCATAGAATGGTGACTGACATTACACCCGTGGGAAACTTTGGTATCTATGTGTGGATGTGTCTGTCAGATTGGACAAATTAATGTAAGTAGAAGGCGGGTGTCTTAAACAGGTTTTATAAATTTATTTGTAATAAAAAGGAACTAGAGGGTTGAAAAACACCTAGTGTTGAAAAAACAAAATTTGTATACTGTATTTATTCAAGAGGGGGAGTACTGGGAAACCTGCCTGAGATAGATAAGGAACAACCACATCTCTTGAGAATGTGTTAAGATTTCTAAGATTTCAGGTGTCTTCTTGATTACTCAAGAAAACGTCAGTTTTCCATCTGAGGATATGATGGGAAGTGATGTTATAAACCCTGTGTAGATGTAGAAACAGTTATTTTTTTCTTCATAAGGTTTCTTGGAGTGAGAGGGTAGGGTGTATTCGAAGATTTTGCAAGAACAGATAAGAGATTTCTTTTTCCCCTTCCTTTCCTGCTTGCTCCCCCACCCATGAGCTGGTCTTTCATGCAAGAAGATTTTGTAGCATAGTTGGCATATTCCTTGCCATCTTTTCACCTTTATGCTTACTATAAATGTTCTATTTTATATCAGTAGAGGAATGATCTATATATTTAATTCAACTATAAAACCTTCAAAATATGTAGGTGTCTTTATTTTAGGTGAGTGGATGATATATTTGAAGTGGTAGAAGAGTTATTTGCAGCCTGCAATCTTTCATGTTCCCACATTAGCTTGTTTTGATCCTCTGTTTGAGACCATAACTTCTCCAGACCTATGATGTATTTTGAGGTGAACAAGAGCTTTTATGTGCAGGCTAGACTATCGTGAAGCAAGGGCTGTGTGACATTCATCATGCTCTCAATGGAGACTTGCTGCAAGTCTGACAAGTAGCAAATTTGACACATGTAAATTTGTTTCAGTGATTTTTTTTCTGTAATGCTATGTTCTGTTCTCCCAAAAGTACTGAAGAGGAGGAGGGAATTGAAGGTAGACTCAAACTGCTGTGAATGGAGATGTAAATAGAAGTATTTTTAGGCGAAAGGAAGATTTGCAGCTCTGCATTTTGTGTGATATTTACAGGAGCGTGTACCTGTGCAACCTGTTTTAGATGTGTATTAAACTGCACATAACTCAAAATCTTCCCTTCAGCTTCTGAGGGGTACTGTTGGCACTACTACAAATCCTTAATGGTGTTGACATGGACTGTTCTGTGGAATTTATTTATATGATATTTAAAAAATATCAAAATGAAAGCTCTTTAAAATTACAGATAATTGAATAAACCTGCCCTGTAGTAATGCTGAATGATTGAGATTTTTAATTGCAACGTCTTGTCATTTTTCTGTAAGGAGAATTTGAGGGTTTTTTTTCCTGTTATAAAGCAATTCAAGCCTACATGTGATTGAACATTATCTTCTCTAACAGGTGGCGTGGTTGTATTGTAGTGTGTTTTGTTTTGTTTTTTTTCCATCGGTTATTTGTAAACTGGATGCTTTAGTCACATCACAGGACTCAACCTACTCCCATAGGTTCATTGCTGAGGAAAACAAATCATAGGCTCTTGCCTGTGTCTGAGGAAGCTCCTACACTGAAAACTGTATTTTAGCAAACATTTCATGTAGCATGTTCCTAAGGTCTAATGTGGATTGTTATGTTTTTCTGATGGTTTTGAGATTATTTTATTTTTATTTTTTTTAATCTTTGTTTAGGCATAAAGTGGTTGAAGAAACAGCCCTATGGTGCAAAGCTATTAGAGAAACACATGATATTAGATCTACAAACCTAAATGCTTATTTATTACTATTGTTTGTCAGGATGTTTTGAGTACCAGTTAAGTTCCTGGTTTTGTCTCACCAGTCTTCTGAGAACCCGAGGATGTTTAATGGCTGCACGGTGCATTCTGCATTACCAGAGAGCTCAGAATTTGAAACTTAGTGTCTTAGAAATAGATGAAAAAGTTAATTCATGGGATAATCTGTGCTAGACTGCACCTTGAAAAACAACTGCTTGCTTTTTAAGACTGAATTTATCGTGCCATAATGTGTGGATCACTGTTTATAGTCCAGTGTTTCCCACCCAGGATAACTCCACAACATACTAATTAATACTCTGAGGAAAGAAGCTGAGAGCAGATTATGCTCTCTGGATATGAAGAGTTAAGGCAAAAGAATATCAGGGTTTTTGTCTTGTAGAGATTGTGATTTCCAGCTGCTGATAGCTTATTGATGCCAAGAATTATTTTTCAAGTGTGTTTGCCAGAAAAATGGTTTAAAATGGCACCCTGAGGTACAAGCTTTAGCTGCCTTTTTTTTTTTTTTGTCTGCTTAGTGCAAATAATTCTTATTCTTAAAACTCAAGCTGTGATTTCCTCAGAATTGAAGTGTAAGCAATTTCAGAGCAGGTCATTAGAATAATGGAAGATCCTAAAGAAAATACCAAATTTTGTTGTACATTGTACCTTGGTTCTTATAACTATGCCATGGTGACTGGCCAGAGCCGGAGAGAAAAAGACTACTATACTTCAGTGGTGTTGGTTTGGGGACAGTTGATGTGGAGCAACAAAGCTGAGCTGCTAAAGAAACAGAACCAAAGAGACAGGAGTGTAAGGTCAACAAATCACCATACTCCTTTTCTGGCTTCAGTGTCCCAGGTAGGGTTCCATGAGCTGCTTTCTTCCATGTGCTTGGATACAAGAGGTCAAATGCTCTGCAGTTCACCTCACAGTTTTTCTGTTTAGAATGACTACGATTACAAAGATAAGACTCAGGTTCTGGCAGTGATGTGATTGAAAAGTAGCTGACTGATGCTTAGAGTAAATAAGACAGATGTTATGTTGCTAGGAAAAAAAATACCTTCAAAGAGCTGATCATGGTCTTGGCCTTTAAGTTCATTGAAAGTGATTCTCTACTAGTTTTTAAAGTAATGTGATCCTTCAGATGCCTGCAACACTGCTGTGTGTGGCTATGTAAATAGTGTCCCTCTGGCAACTTGCTTTACTTGGTTCTGATGTAGACAGCTGTTGGGAAAGACTGGGACATCTAACAGATGCAATACAATTCTTTAGAAGTACAGTTGGCAGATATTTGTGTGGTACAGAAACATAGACCTAGCTTTCAATGCAATCCCTCTTCTGTTTGTATAATATTAATCTTCAGAGATTCATAAAAAAATGAAACATCTGTTCTATTTGTGCATTGTTACTTTGAGTCTAGTTAAATTAAGAGAATTAAGCAAAGTCTTGACTATAAAACCCATGACCATTTGCCTTTAAGTAGTCAAGTCTGTAGGCCTCTTGCAGAAAAAAACCAGGTTAGATGTGACTGATATTCTCTGTAAACAAAACTGTGTGTGTCTGTGTTCACAATGTTTGTTAGCTGCCTAAATTGGGTTGGGTGCAGGTACTGAAACAAAGTGCTTAAGGTTTCAGTGTGGCTGGTACAAAGACGACAGTAACTTCATGGAGCGAGATTTGAATACTCTTGAGTTGGATACCTAAATTATATGGTGCAAATTCCTTTCTAGACATTTATGATTTCACCTTTGTTTATAATGTATAAATTAAGTGAATATTTTAAGTATCAAATCAATGTTATGGTCATTATGTTGCATTAAAAACTCATTATATATCTACATGTTTCTCAGAAATTTTGTGTCATTTTGTTTCACCGAAAGGTAGAGTTTTATTATTTTCATCTGTGTATACATGAAAGTTCACTTTTCCCTGTCTGAAAGCAAGAAAAGTGTCTGTAAAAGATACCTTCATTATATTTCTGCAAGTCATTGTCTGGCAGACATGTCAAGTTTTCCACTAGACTGTTGCTGCTGCTGCTGTTCACTGTTTAGCATTTGTCCCCATGAGTGTAGTGCCAGATTCAGACATACAAAGAATAGCCCATATCCAAATCATAGTTTAGATAGTTTGACAGCTGTCAAATACAATTTTTTTTTTCCTACCTCAATGCTACAACATATGCTGCTCTCCAGGGGAGACAAAAGCTTTCTGTTGATAACCTTATTGCTTGGCTTCTGTTGAGATGGCTGAGTGCTGCTGAACTGTGTCCTAAAAATTACTGTGGCATATCAGCCTGTACAGTCACTCATGTGTCTGCTGTTGGGCTCTTCAGAATCCTTAGTGTGGTTGACAGAGCAAAAGTAGTTGAAGTGAATGCCTTTGCGTGTTGTCATCATAGCTCCTCATTCACTATTCAACTCACTATTGTATCATCGTTCTCCCCATTAAGTATCTAATTACTTTAATAGGCTTTCCTGACACCTTTTTTCCCCAATTATGAAGTGGTTGCCTGATGGTTTGGAGATGAACTGGAAGACCTTATCATGCTCACAAATGAACAACTGCCATGACAGAGGCTTCAGGTTATGGCAGGGAGCTGCAGGGCTAAGTAAAAAAGAATGGGCAAAGGTTTAGGTATTAGTGCCAAGATATTTCAGTGAGAAGGTGAAGGATTAGACCTTGTGGTACTAGAAGCATGATACCTCTGCCAATACTCATTAATGGAGCAGAAGCTTTAGGGGAAGAAAGCTGCACTGAATCAAGTTCCTTCCTTACTCAAACAAGATTGATTTGACATTTGTGTGTATGTGTTTGATTGCTGATTGCCTTTTTTTCTTTTTTATTCTTTTAATGATGATTAGGAGAAAAGATTTAGTTAACTGTTTTGATCATTCCAAGTAGATTGGTTATTTTCAGTTATAAGTGTTAAATTTGTTAAATTATTCTTATTTTAATTAATTCTTATTATTGTCTTGGAAGGAGCTGACAACATCAGGAAATACTGGAGTCGTTATTACCAAGGATCCCAGGGGGTAATATTTGTATTAGACAGTGCCTCCTCTGAAGATGATCTAGAAACTGCTAGAAATGAACTGCATTCTGCTCTCCAGCACCCACAGTTATGTACTTTGCCATTTTTAATACTGGCCAATCATCAAGACAAGCCAGCAGCTCGCTCCGTACAAGAGGTATGTTAATGTGGCATTATCTTGCCCGTTTGTATTTACTATCTGCACACCACTAACCCACTATTACTTATTACGATTATTACGCTATTACTTACTACTTATGACATGCTAGTTAAGGACTGGCCTCAATTTCTCTTTATTGCAAGTACACAGACCAAGAGCAGTCCCAATCCCTAATTACTTAGTACAATGCACTCTATACAGGCTTAGTTCTTCTGGAAAAAATATACCTGGATACAAACAGATCTTCTTCTTTCACCATATTTTGCTTAAGGGTGAAAAGATGTTTTCTAAACTACTCTTATGAAAAGCTGCTGGGACAGTGATTTTTTTTTTTTAGCTTCTGTTTTCATTTGCTATTAGTTTTAATTTTGCACTATTCCATTACTCCATTCTTTTCAACTGCTTAAAGCAATAGATGGCAGCCATAGGTTGTCTTTTTTATGTAAAAGCTTTTTCTGAATTGCTGTGTACTGATGTGAGAGCAGAGTTGCAATTCCTGTTCTGAAGTCCTTAACTAGTTCTGATTTTCCTCTTCTAAGGAGTAATGTTTTTGTCTAATTTCTAGCTACCACATAGTAAATTATGTAATTGTTGTATTCAGTGTACTTTTTGCTCTTTATACGCTGAAAAATTCATCTTGTCTACATCTCTATCATGTCACATACATTGAAGAAATGCTGAAAGTTACTGATTCTCTATGAGAAGCTCTACTTATTCTTCTGAAGTTGTAGGAAGAAGTTAAAATTTGGTTGTGTCATTCTGTTCATAAATGTCATTTAAAGGACTCTTATTCAAGACTGTATGTGAAATCTGTTTGTTCTGTCAGTGCAGCAGAGTGAAAACAATTTCAGCACTTTACAGTATTGTTGCTTTATACCTAAATTTGATTCTTTCGTACAGGAACTTCTTTGTCTAAAATACAAAGTTTCAGACTTTAAACTCAGAACAAACTGATCTGTAGAATAGCTGCTGTTATTACAGTACAGTTGAACATACTGTCTTTATTGCTTTATTGCTACCTATGCCTCCTTTCTCAGCCAAAAGAAATTAAGCATATAATATGTTAAAAAATGGTGTAAATGGAGTGATGGTTTTCATATGAAAAGAAGAGATTAAGTGAAAGCTATATAAACTACACTGTAGAATATTTTATTATTTTTTTGGTCCTTTCCTCCAAGAATCCATGCTTAGGAAAAATAAAAAAAAAGGAATATGAATTTAGTATATCTAAAGTTACATAAAAAGGTAAACTAAAATGAGGCAGGGATAGAATCTACAGGTCGTACATCTTGTTCATATAAAAGCAGACTGAGGAAGAAGTAATAAATATTTAAAGGAAATGTAATATGGATTTTGATGTATCAATTTAATAGTTTGGCCTGATCTATTGTACAGCATAAAAGGAAAGTGTGCATTCCTAAACCTTACACTTAAAAAATGATAATATCCTGAGACACAACTGATTTCATTTTATCATCTAAATACACTCTATGCATTTTGGCTTTAACTTTTTTACATAGAGCAATACAGATTATTATTTCCATCAACAAAAATGCTGTTTTTCCACATGAATAAAGTATTTCTTATTTTACTATATTTTTCATTTTTAAAATGGCCAAATTTTGTTCTATGTTAATAATAAGTATAATTTACGAAATGTTCTTTGTCGAGTTTTATAAGAATAGAGAATACAATGCCAGTTGGTTTGTTTTACAGGAAATTATGCAAGTTACTCTCCCAATTTGTAGCTGAGCCTCTATGGAGAGACTTTTGGGCCTGAACTGAATTGTTTGCCTATTTAGAGTTAGCATTTCTTTTCTTTTATCGGCAGTATCCTGATTTTCACCTCATTCTTCATTACCAGTTGCTTGATACCTCAGTAGTGGAGTAGATATCTATATGCTTATAATAGCATTTAAATAGGTTTCTACTGCATGCTTTAAAAAAAATAAAAAAAAATCTTACAGTGTATTATTATAGCATTGCTACTGTGAGTGTGTATGAAATGCTGCACACAAGAATTCTGTTAAATGTGCACAGCTTATGTGTATTTTCAGGAAAAACAAGCAAACAACCCTGTATCAGTGTTTGTCTTTGAAATTCTTTAGTTAAGAATAGTGGAAAACAAAATTAAAAGAAAAAAAAAAGGAGAATGTCAAAAGGTTGTTATTGTCCCAGAAAAAAATGATGTCCTGTATTTGCTGTATATACAAAGTGGAAGCCTTATTGGGTCATTTTTGCCAACATTAAAATGGAAATTTCTTGCTTTCCTAAAGGCTTTGTTGTACTGTTGTCCTCACTATTGAGATGTGAAATGAAAGTAAAATGTTGAATCGTAAGATGATTCCTTAAATCAAAACCAGCATATATAAGTATTTAACAAAAGTACTATGCTGAGCATTGAGTTGAGCATTATTAGACATTTTTGCTTAACTAAGTCCATTAATTATAGATATTTCCTTGCTTTTTTATGTGTCAGAAGGCAGATGAATCACAGTTGAAGTTTAAAAGTATGTATGCATTATTTTCAACAACAAATTGCCTTTCTTTAATGGATATGAAAGGACTCCTTGGGGTATAATTAAGGCAAATGTCTGAGTTAAGTGGTGCATAATAGGAAGTGTAGAAAAATATTTATGTACAACAAAAATTCTTCACAAAACTGTAAAAGGGCCAAGCAGTTTCTGCAACAGATGTTAGTTATATTTATTGTTGGGAAGCGCAGTTGCTTCAGTTTTTCAAAATGTTGTATTTTATTTAATGTGTTTTTTTCCATGCATTGCTTAGGTAAAAGTGATATTGTAGAAGTAACATGCTGTAAATAATAAGCAATGTCATGACTAGTTCAATTCACAACTATAAGATCTATTTGCAAAAATATCCAAATAACTTATTTAATTTATGAAATGTAATTTAACCCAATTCATTTTGCAGAATATACTCCATATTATTGAAGTGACCAGGGAAAATTACAGGAGAAGCCAAGTTAAAATACTAATCAGACAATGTAATACTTTTTTCCTGAGTTCAATTGCGGGTTGGCTGTTTCCTAGTTATTTTGGTTTTAAAATGAAATCAAGAAAGTAAATTTGACATTTTATTGTAGAAACTAAAAATGACAATGTCTCTCTTATTTGTCTTATGTAACTTCTATGGTGTTCATTCCATCTTCCTGTGTCAAAAATATTTGTAAGTTGTTTTGTTTTTCCTGTGACAGTAGCACATATTTAGATGTTTTCAGATGTCTCCTAAGTGATTTCAACTGAGCCATGCTGAAATAAAGACTGTATATTAACCAGACTATAAAGCTCATTCAGTCATATTTGATTCAATAAGTTTGCTATAAAATAACCTTGGTTTACATTAAAATCACAATAATGAAGAATTAATCATATGTAAATCAGTACTGACTGCAGTTTTGGAAACCTTTTGAAATAGTAAATAAAAATAGTTACAAGTGAAAAAAAAATTTAGTTACTCAACATGTGGGAACATGGTGGCATATCTGTTTGGCCCTGGTTTCCAAAATACAGGGTGCAGTTCTGAAGCAGTACCAAATGGTATATTCTTTTAAATAAGTATCTTGCTGATGGAGTGTACTTTTGCCTTTTCATCACAAAAGTTCTTTTGATTATAGAAACTGGTTTTGATTAGTCAGATTTCTTTACAGGCTTAAAATATTGCAGGAGATTGATGGTGATAAAAGCACTTTAAATTGCTTTGCAAGGGAACAACCGCATTACTGCTTATTGTGATTATCAGCTTGTTGATTTTTATTTTGGAATGTATGCTACTTTGTGTAATGATGTCAGAAACTCGATATAGCAGTGCATTCTTGCGACTTGAAGCAGTGTGAAAACTTTACTCCCAGGTCAGAGTGATATTTAAGAGCTGCAGATATCATACATTGAAAGTTTTCCATAACCACTGTGTTTTAGGAGTAGGCTGTGCTGAGCACTTGTCTGAATCTGTTGAGGACTTCTGGAAGCCATATAGGACTGGCCAAAGGAGAAATCAAATTGAACTAGATTTTCCAGTTCAGTAGTGAAGCAGCTACATGTTTAGCAGCATGATGTTTTTGGAGAGTTTCTTTTTTTGTATTTTAAGGCTGTTTTTAAAATTGCAGTTGCACTGGATGATCATTGTAGGTCTGTTCCAATTGAACTTTTCTAAGATCATCTATGTGAAGACGTTCACAGGGTATAATCTTTTGGTGGGTTTTCCTTTAGTCATCCAAAAATACAGGCAGTTAATACATTTCTTTCATATATGTAAATTGGTGACCACTAGTAGCAGGAGAAATCATTGAAGATATGTTCTAAATTTTCATTAAAAAATGCTAGAACTCTTTAGTATAGACTTACTAAAGAACAATGAATCAAAAGTCTTCTCAGTCTATTTTAAGGTTATATTGTTTTAAATATTGTTGTCAGGAAAAAATAATTTGGAAACCTTATGCTGATCATGAATGCTGTCTTTTTGCTTGCATACGAGATCTTACTTAAAAGTTGAATTGATGGGTGTGTGAAACTCCACTGGAGAATCATTCCCATTTTCCTGTTTGATAGAGCAAGATTAAAAAATATCTTTGAATTACAAATGGTATTTTCAAAAGCAATTGTAAGAGGTTCATTGCATATTCACATAGATTGTGATGCGTTTGTCTATTTGTGAATATTTCAAGACATGGGTTTTGAATTGTGGACAGTGTTTAACTGGATTTTCTTCTAGGAGGATAGTGGAGGGTGACTCTCCTTATGAAAAGAGCCATCTTAAGGATGTGAGGTTATTATCTATTACTCTGTCAGTTTATTCTCTGTTGTTTATGTCTAGAAATAATTTTGTAGATAAACAATGTCTTCTTGAAGTGTTAAGTATCTTAAAGTTAAATAACCATTGCAGGAGAATGTTCAAGTTTGCCAGCGTCTGCAGAGGCTCTTCCTGGTCCTGAGGATCTGGGGTACTTTAGAAACTGGACTTTCTAGGGTCTGCCAATA